CCCTTTCTGTCTTTCTGCCTGCAAGCCCAGTTGGTCTGCCTCCCCCGGTGGCTCTGCTAGCTCTCTGGATTTGTCCCCTCCAGTTTGTCCAGGTCCCTTTGTCCTTTCCCATTTTGTCTCATTCCATCTCCCTCTCTCTCTCTGTCTGTTCTCTCTCTCTTTAGGACCGTACTTGCTTGCCCATCATCTCCCTCTCCCCTCCATCTTCCCTCCCTCCTTCCTCGTTCCTTCTTGCTCTACTCTCCCACCTCTCTCACCTCCCCTCTCTTCCTTTCCAAACCATGGATCCGTCCACCCACCCACCCACCCACCCAGTGGCCTGACTGAAGGATCGACAATCAGTGGAGCCTCCTTCCAGGGCTCCCCCTGCTCCCTGCAGTCACCAAGCCCAGGCCAGTTCACAGCACTATCAGGGAGTTCATTCATATTTAAGTAAGGCTATCCCTGCCAGCCCAGGACTCACCAGTGTCTGCTCACTGGTGCCCTCAGCCCACGTTTTAGGTTTCAATGGAGCCGATGCCATTTGCTTGCTAGCCTGGTGGCAACTGGAAGTTGTTTTAAATTTGAATTCAGCTCAGACTGGATGAGAGTTTTTTCAGACAAGAGAGAAATAATCAACAGGTTACGCTGTCATTAGCGGCCTGACCATCGAGGGGAAGGAGAGAAGGCACAGGTGGCTGCTGTCAGTGTTGGAGCTGGTGTGGGCTGCACAAGACCCATGGAGGTGGAGTGGAGGAGGAAGCAGGCTGGGAACAGGGCAGAGCCGGTCTCCATGGTCCTGTGCCTCTCTGACTCCTGTGCCCCATCTCTGTGGCGGTCTCTGTCTCTGGGCCTCACGGTTCTCTCTCACCCTCCCTGTCTCTGTCCAGCTTGGCTAACGGTGCCTGTGGGAGCCTCTGCTCTTCCACTTTGGCCCAGGTTGGATGTTACTGCCCACTTTACAGAAGAGATGATTGCTGGCCCAGGGCTACTAGGAAGTCTGTGGCGCAGACGGATCTCCTGGCTGTAAAGCAAGGGCCGTCCGTGTCAACCCGGCCTGCTCTCCTGCCACGGGTGTGGGGCCTCCAGGGAAGGGTGCAGGATCCCGTGTCTTCTCCAGCTGGCCAAGTGAAGCATTTGAGAAACTGAGGATACCACAACTTTGGTGTCATTTTGGAAAGTTGGAACCTTTGGGGTGCAGCTCCTCTGTCTCCCCCACAGGACTCAGGGAGCAAAGGACACTGGCATGGTTGAGCCCTTGGGGGAGGATGACTCTGGTGAGAGCAGAAACCAGCTAGGACCCGTGGAAGCTGCTCTGCAGGTGAATTCTTGACAAGGACATGGCATGTCCTGGAATCTGAAGGCTGTGAAGGGCCACCTGCCTGAGCTCTGCAGGAAGCCTGCTCCCTGCCAGTGTTTCACCCACCTCTCCACCTCCCGCCTTGGGCATTCTGCTGGGAGGAAGTGCCCAGCAACTGCCCTTTAGTTAATGTTTTCGTTTCTGGAAAGGAGTCAGAGAGGCTGAGATCTCTTCATCCCCATTCCACATGCTTTATCTGGACCAATTGATGGTGACTTGTGGGGGACAAGTCCATTTTGTATAAAATGGTGACTTGGCACCTCATCACCATTCCCAAGGTGATGGGGATGAGGAGGAGGGAGGTTTCCAATGGATGGCCCCTGGGTCACATTGGGCAGCTTTAACAGGGTTCAGCATTTGGCGTCTTGTTTTACCTCGGGCAGTGTGGGGGGCAGTGTGGGAGACAGTGGGAAGAAAGAAGTGTGGTTCCTGCTGCCGTAGTTCAGAGCTGTGGCTTTAAGGGTCCAGGGCCCACTCCCTGCCCACCTGCTGCCAGTACAGAGGCTGCAGGGACTGGGCTATTTGTGCTGGGCTATTTGAGCCCCTCCTGACCCTCTGTGCACCGGCCTATTAGGAATACCTTTCTTTGTGTTATTCAAGAACTCATAAAGAGCTGAATTTTGAAATCTCTTACTGCATTGTGGATAATAAATTATCCGAATCTAAAAATATCCCTTGGGTGCGTTGGGCAGGGGAGAAGGGCTGGTTTCAGAGTTACTTAATGCACAACAGTGGGACTGAAATCCTTCATTTAAATTGAAGCCAGTGTCTTTGCTCCTCTCTGGGTGAAGTTCACATCGCCTTGCAGCTGTCAGAATGAGTCTGGGTGTCTGCCACCTGGGTGTGGTCAGATTAGATTCCTGCCTAAAGGCCAGTGTTCTTGGGCCAGGGACCTGGGCATGCAGGTGGCCAGATCTCAGGGCTGTGGTCCAGAACCACAGGCTGGGGGAGGAACTGGGGGGAGCACATGAAAGCCACACAAGGCCATGGTAGGGGTCTCTGGGGACACTTGACTGTGACTAAAAATTAAGGTTCACATGCATGTAACATCTTTGTAGAGGTTTTAAATTTAAAGTCTCTATAAATCTACCTTTGATCCTTCAAGCTTTCTTTTGAGTTAGGCAAAAGAGTGGGATGGCAAGGTCTGTTGCACAGGCGAGGAGCTGAGTAGACTCGCAGGGCAGCCGGGTGATGGCTTCTGTGGCAGATCACATGCGCTCCCGTCCTGGCTCCTCACTTAGCAGCAGTGTGATTCTGGTAAAATGGGGATACAAATAGTAACCCTTCAATAGCGGTATTGCAATAGCGATGTTTGAGGATGAAGTAAGATGTTAATAAGAACTGTTAAAATGTATCAGGAACTTACAAGGTCCCAGGCAGGTTTTGGTGCTTTATCAGGTATTGATACATATCATTCTCTGTATTATAAACATGCATTATTATGAACAGCAAGTGCATATAAATCATTCAGCCTGTGCCTATCACTTATGTTAAGGGTTTAAGATAAATTAATTGTCATTAGTCATGTTTGTTAGGTGACTTATATTCTGTATTGTTATGCATTTGTTCATCAGTTCATCTTTAGTTAATTCTTTTTTTTTTTTGGTGGTGCTGGGGATCAAACCCGGGGCCTTGTGCATGCGAGGCCAGCTCTCTACCACCTGAGCCACAGCCCAGCCCCATCAGTTCATCTTTGTTGTATTTTCTTTTGGTTCTTTTGATTGTATCTGTGGGTCTGAAAAATGCATTTCCCAAATACCTTTGTTAAAATCCCCTCAATATCAATATTATCTCTCTCAACATAAATACCTAATATTATTTTAATGAAGTGTTCAAGAGTAAGTTATACATATGAGGTACTTTGTAAATACTTTGGTGTGAATTTTCCCAGAATCCTTAAAAAGGAAGAGTGAAATCTTAAAATCTGGAAATGAATGTCAACACAAAGAATTTTCCCATCCCTGGGCTTTATTCTTATTCTTGGCCCACTAGTGTCCATTGTACCAACCAACCAACCAACCAACTCTGGAATCATGCGTTGTGTCTGCGCCCCTTGATCTGGAAGGTTCCCTGGTCTCTGTCCTTAGACCAGGATGCACTGGAGGGTACCGAGCAGTCACTGTGCAGTCCGGGCTGGCCTGGCCCTTGTTCCTTACCATCCTCACCTCTCCTCCTCTGCGAGACACGGGGTCTGTTCACATGTCACTAGTGATGTCACTGATGGCCTGGAGTGGCTGGTGTGTGCAGTGTCCGCACCACACAGCTGCCATTTCTCCTCTTTGAAGTGAGCATGTCTCCTGCACAGAGGGCCTTTGCGCTGTGCAGATATCCCGTTCCTTGTACTTTCAATCACTACTCGAATCCTCGCATGATTCTCTCTGGAACAGCTGTGGTAACAAATGGTGGCCACGGAGGTGGTGGTCTCCTTCTGCCGTTCCTTCCTCATTTACTGGTTGGAGTTCGACCCTAAGGACGCAGCTTCTGCTTCCCAGTGGTGTTGGTGTGGACTCATCCTAAGTTCATCATCACCTTCTGGGACCACTTGTGGTGATGCTGAGCCGTACAGGTTCTGCAGCAGTGCCTTCACCTGTCTCCTGTGTCCATTTGACATTTTCTGAGCATACTGTTAGCTTCTGGGTATTTTCCGCTCATGACCTTGACAGTCCTCGCCTCAGTCTGTGAATCAGCCGTTTCTCTGAGCTTCTGCTTTCTTTCCTGGGGCATGATGTTCAGAACTGAAGTCTGGGCTCTGGGTATCCTAGCTGCTAAAGGGGTATTGTTCTTTGGGTCTGTACCCTCTCTGGACAGAACTGAGGAAAAGCCACACGCGTGCACACACCCATGGCCACACTCCACACATGCACACACGGGCATCCCACCCCAAGCTCCCGCTGGCCACCCGTGCCAGGTCCTGTTTGCAGAGCTCACCCTGACTCTCTCTCCTCTCCACCTTGACACCCCTTCTTCCAGCAGTGAGAACCCTGGCTCTGGTTATCCAGCATGTCATTTGCTCAATCCTAGATACTAAAGGAGCTTCGGAGCTGCTGACCTACATTGCGGTGAATAACCCAGCTAGAATTCAAGATGTGTTTACGGTTATTTTTGTCTTTGCTCTGAGAGTCCAAATAACCTGCCCCAAAGTTACTTGAAACCACTAGATTCTAATGGTTCCAAACGATGGAGGTTGATTTTGCCACGTTCAACACAGATCAGCCTGGGGCTTTGCTCTGCATTGTCCTTACTTTGGGACCCAGGGTGACAGGGTGACTATCACCAGCATGGCAGAGAACAGAGGGCACAAGGACTTGCATTCTTGGGTCCTCTGTTTCAAAGTGAGTGCATCCGCCCACTCACCTTCTGTGGCCAGGTCCCCTCACCTGGTCACACCTACAAAGTGAGCAGAGAAGGCCAACCACTCTCTATGGCTGATGGGCAAGTCTGCTATCTAAACCCCGGGACAAAAATCTGTTTTACAGAGGAGGAAGCTGAAGAACTCGGGCTAGTCTTAACTAACACACGGATGCAGTTCATCACGTTCTCTGCTGCATACTATTTCACACTGTGTGTATGTACCGTGCCCACTGAGCCATGCCCTGCCTGTGGACATTCAGAAGGTTTCCATCTTCTCTCTTTTTTTTAATTTTTAATATTTATTTTTTAGTTTTTGGCGGACACAACATCTTTGTTTGTATGTGGTGCTGAGGATGGAACCCGGCCGCACGCATGCCAGGTGAGCACATTACTGCTTGAGCCACATCCCCAGCCCTCCATCTTCTCTATTGGACACAGTGCTCCAAAGACAACCCTTGAGCAGTGGGCTGGGTGGAATTGTTGAGCAGCACCGGCCTCAGTCAGAGACTCCTTATTGCCATTTTTCTTCTTAATAAAGTAAATATAGAACCAACCTCATTAATTTATTACAGGAATTGTATCGGGTACCACAAGAAGCCCTTCTCCCAATGCCGGGAACATAGACGAGCTTCCCAATGTAGCGGTTACGGTTAGTGTTATTGTTATTAGTGGAGCTGGGATGCAGTGGAGCTGTTACTGGTCCATGGCGCCAGGGGTGGAGTGTGGGCTCTGGCTCTCTGTGTTGTGTGCTCTGTGAGCCCTTCTCCTGATCCAATGGGGCTCTGGGTTCCCAGTGTGGGAGCCTTGGCTGCCACCTTCCCTTCTGAAAGGAGGTGCCTGGGGCCAGTGCATCCTCCTCCCCTCCCTACCTCTGAGTCCTCTCCAGGGTTCACTGGGCCCTTGAGACCGGAGCTAACAGAGCTGCCATTGAGAGACCCTGGCCATCTGAGTGACAAGAAGGGGGAAGAGTGACCATCTAGCGCACTCAGGTCCACTGGGGCCTAGGCCTGAGGATTCCTCTGTGTCCATGACATGTGGAGCCACCTCACCCTGAGAGAGCCCGTGCTGCTCACAAGGCACTGAGGCCTCCTGGCCTCGCTCTACTGACCACGTTCCCGATCCTGCCAGGTCCTTTTCCTCTGACACAACTGTCACAGTGGCCATGTCCACTTGGTACATAGCCCTGCACCCCTACCCAACCCTGGGCAAGGCACGAGCCTGTTCCCAGAACAGTATTGCCTCAGTGTTCAGAACATGCAGTGGGTTCCAGTGTGTGTACAAGGTTCTGCAACCATCAGTGCTAATTCTAGAACATTCACATCACTCCTGCCACATAGACTGTACTGCCCAGCGACCCCCATGCCCTTCATCCTCCACTCCCTTCACAGCCACTAATCCACGTCCCACCTGTTCTGGATATTTCACACACATGGAATCGTAAGTTGCGTGTCTGGGCTTCTTTCTCTAAACATAATGTTTTTAAGGCCCGTCTCTATTGTGGTCTATGTCAGTTTATCCTTCTCATGACTCAGTGGCGTTCCGTTGGACAGGCCAGCTTGCGGGCAGCCTGTGATGGGATCTCCTTAGGCACCTGGCACTTGCCTTCACTTTGGGCACGTGCACAGCTCTTGGACGAGCATGGCCATACTTATGCATTCCCAAGAACATATCACAGTCTTCCAAAGCCCTGTGGTCATCCCCTTGCCCTTCTCTCCCCTTTAAGCTATTTGATGAGGTGCTCTCCATGCCTCAGAGAGCTGTGCAGGTGAACAGTAACCTGTAATTGCTTTTGACAAACATCTCCAGGGAGAAGATGAGCCCAGAGCCAGGCCACATACAGCCTTGCCAGTGGGGTGCTCCAGGGAACCCACAGACAAGGTGTGTACCATGGGTGGTTTGGGAATGCGGGTGGGAAAGGTCTCCAGTGGGGTTCTCCTCTCTGTGGTGCCCACACTGCTGGTTTTTACTGGTAAGGTGGCATCATGCTTCAAAGCCATCGCAGAGCTGGAGAGTGGGGGAGTGGCCTCAAGTTAAAATGCCACCAAGGTCTCTGTGTTTGACCAGGACCTGGCCCTCTATTTCTTGCATAAATGCTCTCCCAGTCATACAAGTGTTTGGGGCATCTCCAGAGCCCAGGAAACGTTATTTTGAGAATGTTTGCCAGTTTCCTTGTGACTTTTGTGGAGAAGAGAGTTTTCTGATGGCCTCACTGTGACTTTGCCCTTGGTGTTGCCCTCATGGGATGGAAGTGCCTTCCACAGAGGAGTGTGGAGATGCTCTGTAGGCATCAGACCTGGGGCTTCTGCAGATGGAGCAGAAAAGACTTGTTCTGTGGTCGATGGTGGAAGTTTAGCAGTTTCTTCAACCAGATCATTGTTTTGATGTAATATTGGACATGGTGATTGCTTTCTCAATGTGCCAAGGGTATGTAGGGACCTACTTTAGGTTTTCAGAGAGGCTTAACTTATTTACAGTATTTTGAAATCTTTTCAAGACCCCATCCCAGGATGGGCGTGGTGGCACACGCCTGCAATCCCTGTGGCTCAGGAGGCTGAGGCAGGAAGATCACAGGTTCAAAGCCAGCCTCAGCAATTTAATGAGACTGGAGGCAACCTAGCAAAACTCTCTGTCTCAAAATAAAAAATAAAAATGAAGGGCTGGGGATGTGACTCAGTGGTTAAGCACCTCTGGGTGGAATCCCTTGCACCAAAAAAAAAAAAAAAAAAATCCCACACCGAGGAAAGAGCACATGTCAAAACAAGAAGGTTGACTTACCACCATGTTGGATTGGGCTGCCACATTTCCCACATGTTCCTTACAAATTTGATGTTTTCTCTTGAAAAGTAGCTATTATTTGTAGGCTTAATATCACTGCAAAGCAAATCATGTATAAAATGGTACTAAAACTTATACTATCTTGGGAGGGTTGTTGGGAAGCACAGAGGATGATTATTTGCATGCCAGTCATTTAGAATACCACCTGTCTCCTAGTAGCTCAGTCTCAGTGGCCGCTGTGGCTGTCATTCAAAGCCCGCCCCCTCTCTTGCCCCTCTCCTGATTTGGAATGGAGAGTGGGGGGCCGACTGAGGACATGGAGTGTGGGACCTGCCTAGTGCATGGGCTGAGGCAGGGACTGGGGAGAGGAGCGATGATGACGGCCTGTTGGGCCCTCCTGGGGAGCTGAGCCGATGCTGTGGACTTCCACTGCTGAGCTGAGTTGTGCAGCCGTGGCCGGCTGTCTGCTTGGCCTTCTTCTCCAGCTTGGTGTGGAAGTAGCTTCTCCACCGTGGTCCCTGTGTGAGCCTTGAGGTGGCTCTTTAGCTCATTCGTTGAGTGAACATTCTGAGCTCCACTGTAGCAGTTGCATGGAGGACTGTGCTCACAGCACCTTCCTCCATGAGGTGGGCACAGATGGCCTGTTCAATGTCCATAAGCTCCCTGTGGAGTAGGGGCTTGTTTGTCCCTGTTTGCAGACCAGGGAACCTCTGCATGGGAGGTAACATGGGGCAGAAGCTGCCCAGACTATGAGAAGGCTGGACTGTGCAGGGGACAGAGAGAAGGGGACAGGAGAAGGACGGGGAGGTGGGCAAGGCCCAGGTGGCCCTCCTCAGTGAGCAGAACCCTATCTTAAGAAGAGTAGGGCACTTTCCAGGTGTTTTGATCTGGCAGAGAGATAGTCTGGGTTGGAGATCTTGAGCCCTGTGAAGAGAGACCCAGGGAGAACCCCGGGGTCAGCGTAGCTGTCCAGGCCAGAGGCGCTGGGAGGGCAGGGGAGCTGGGAGAGGTGACAGCAGGAAGTTGACAGATGGAGATGAATTAGAAAGACAGAAACCATGAGCCCCCAGGGGTCATCAGGGTTTGCAGGGGAATCTCTGGGGTCCAGAGAGGTGACAGAGGGGCCACGGTGCCCAGCCCAGGTGTGCAGAGGTTTATGATGTGATGAGTTCTCCTTTGCTCTTTGTGCTATTGTCTTTCTTCATTTGAAACAAAAATGAAGCATGTGCTCCTGTGTTACTAAGCCCAGAACAGGCAATCAGTACCCAAAGGACCCTCAGACCGAGCCCTGGAGAATGCTGGGGAGAAATCCTGTGCTGGTGTGAGCCTGACAGATGCAGGAGGTACGGGTTGTGGGAGGAGGTGGAGGAGGGAGCAGCTCGGTGCTCCCCAAGAGGCTGGGTGCCAGGAGAGGGTCTGGCTGCCGGGTGTGGCCATCAGTCTGGCTGGACCCCACCTCACATGGCTGCATCCCTGCAGGCTCTTAGGGCAGGGGCGGTGCTGGCCGGCCTCACCCCGCTCCCTGGGATCCAAGCTCGCTCACCGGCACCTCTTCTCTCCTTCAGGACACAGAAGTTTTGAACACCGCCATTCTCACCGGAAAGCCTGTCTCGGTCCCTGTCAAAGTCATGGGGGTTCAAGAGGACGGTTCCGTGGTGGATGTGTCAGAGGCTGTGGAGTGCAGGTCAGCCGATGAGGACATCATGAAGGTATGTGATAGCTTTGTCTGCCTGTCTCCCAAGTGCACATGGCTTTCATGGCTCACTGTGTCCCAGCCTTCAGATCTGGTGAGCACCCTGTGCTCCTAGGGTTGTGGGCCAGAGTGACCTCACTAAGCAGCAAACGGCTGAATCAGAGACACCTGGGTCAGACAGCATCTGTGGGTGGCCGAGCTGCTCCCCTCTGCCAAGCCTGAATCTCAAGGGCAAATCTGTGCCCATGCTCAATTCCATCTCCTTCCCCCTCCTCCCTCTCTTTCCTCACAGGGTGCTGTTCTCTTAGCATCAACAGTACCCAACCATCTCAATTGGTACCAACTCTCTGTGCCAATCATTTTATTTACTAAATATATTTTCTTTAACTGCCTTGTTGTTTTAGAGTGGCTGGTTGGCCCCGCTGGTTGGTGTATGGTGTTAATAAATGCCTCCCTGTTTCAAACTTAAAAACAGATTTGGTCTCATTACAGGATAATAAAACTCATGAGCCTGATGTACTAAATTTTTGTTAGTAACATTAAAATAAGTGACTATTAAATTTTTTAATAGCTCATCCTTTGCTACCTGCTTTAATTTGAATATAACCTGAGGCATATAACTCAGTTGGGGAGTCTGTCCAAGGGACACTTTTACTGTGTGCTTCATTCTAATTAGCTACACTTCTGACTCCAAATTCTGCCGGGAAGCAGCGCATGTTTTCAGTTTTCCACGGTCTTCACAGGGTTCTCCTTGAACTGCTAAATTGGGTGTTTCTGCCCTTTTTTTCTAAGTACATTGGTTGCTGCTTCTTTTTGCAGCAAAGACCTGGGGAGAAGGGACTTCAGTCTTGAGGACGATCCTTCCTCCTCCGAGTGCTGAGAGAGGCCTGGGGCCCACTCTGTCCCTATGTTTTAGGAGAAGACATCAATGCCCAGCTCTGCCCTTCCTCACCTCCTCCCAGCTCTGGTTCAGACATTCAGCAGAACTGTTCATGGCCAACAGGAAGGCCTTCCAGGGTTCTCCAGGGAGAAAGGGTCACGGAGGGGTTTATTTCTCTTTACTGCGACCTGCGGGAGGCTGTGTCTTGGTCTAGAGACAGTTTAGTAAAGAAGAAATGGTGTATTTGTGAGATCTAGTGAAAAACAAGGAGTCTGTAGGAAACTCAAGCTTGCTGTTGGTGGTTTCCTGGGCTTGGAACATTAATTCTCCATGAGAAGAAGGCTGGACCAGCTTAAGACCTGGACACACGGCCCTGCCTGGTGCCTGGAGATGGAACAAGCCCAGGCCTTACCTTCTCAGCTCAGGGGACCAAGTGCTCTCAGGAGATCATGTGCATGGGTGAAAACATGGACCACTTGCTGTCCTGGCTGCCTTTGGCCACACACACTCCTCACCCTTCCCTGCCTTCCAGAAAGCAGGAGGAGACACTGGCAAATGGAGATGGCTCTGTGTGCTTATGCCATCATGGACCCAGACAAGTGACTCCCCTCAGTGGGTTCCTTAAGCCCTCAGTCCCATCCTGAGAGCCTCCTGTGGAGCCCCACACAGGATCCTTGTTCTCCTGCCTGGAGAGCTCCACCCAAGGGAGGCCAGTTCAAGTTCAAGTTCATGAATCCCACCAAAGATGTCCTCTGCCCCTCCTGATAGATACAGTTTTGGAAGAGGACAGGTTTTGCCTATTAACTATTGCAGCCTCATGAAAAAGCAAGTTCTTTAGCAAACAATTGTTTACTCTTCTAGGTGTGAAATGGAGCCCACAGATCACCAAGCTCAGCCCTGCAGTAGGACAGGTCCTCTGGTGGTCCCTGCTGCCCGTGTCCGTGGGCTAGACTTAATTAGACAGCTGTGATGCACAGGCTGTGGCTTCACTCTTAATGTTCATAGTCAGTTTTGCCGTGACTCTAAGATGGATGGAGGTGTCCACAAAGCCCTGTGCTGGCCTCAGCCTCAAACCAGGGTCAGCCCTGGACGTTGGCACAGTTGTTAGTACCCTCAGGAGAGCCCCTCCATCTGTGGGGCTGCTGCTCAGCCACTCCTTCACAGCACAGGGAACACCATGGGGCCCTAAGGATGAGTTCGCTGGGTCCCCAAAGATCTTCATGCACTGGGGATTCAGTGGCCTGAGTCTGGGATTGAGATGGCAAGGAAGTGGGAATCCAGGAAGATGCAAATTATGGCAATGCACAAATTAGCTTCTTCAACCTGGGATGGAATGACTTTTGAAGGACAGAATCTGAAGGCATAAATATTTTAAAAACCTGAAACCTGACCCTAATTGGGCAAGATTGGGGGGGATAAATGTCAAGTTTTAAGTCCACAATTACTGTGAAGTTAAAAATAAAGAAAGTAGGGGATGCGGCTTGAGAGTGTGTGTGCATGCGCACCTGTGTGCACATGCATTGTGTACTTACTGGCTTTTATTCTTTAATTGTTGTGGTCATGTAAAAGTGGACAAATTGGCACAGAAATTTGGATTTCCAGTTTCTAATGAAAAATCACGAGATCATGTGGTCCTGGGCCTTGGGCCCACATGGGCTGCACCTGGAGTTGAGTAGAGGAGACCCTTTGTGTAAGGCCAACACCCGCAGCTCACCACAGTCCCCACTACTACATCTTGTCTCCCCCAAGGAGGTGGAGGGACATTTGCCGCCTCAAGTCATACTTAGGAGGCTGGCTTTCCGATCTTAGATTTTAGATGAAAGTGAGTTTTTTCTCATTCTGTGGTCTCAAAAAAGAGAAAGGAGCAACAAATGATCTACTTCATTCTGTCATCCTTCAGGCCCTAAGAGGACACCAGAAAATTAGATTGTGTTCTGCCAAAGAATGTCTGGGTGGCCAAGGGTTCTTGAAATCAAATCACAGGAGGAAAGACTACAGCAAGGGCGAGTGTTTAGCCTGGTGATGAGAAGAAGAGGCCCCAGGGTGAGGTGGTGACGGAGCTTTTATGTCTCTCAAGGGCCATCATGTGGAAGAGGGAGACTTGTGCTTTTTGTATTCCTAAAGTGGTAGTTAAAAAGGACCATTTTCAGTTCAATGTAAAGGAAGGACTGCAGAGGTGGTGAGTTCTTTGGTTAAGCATTCAGACAGACAGTTGGGTTTAGATCTTAACTCCACCTTCCTTACCACTGGACCTTGGGCAAATGGCTTAACTCCTGTGAACTCAGATCCTTATCTACAAATGGGGATGATAACGATATGGTGGAAAGTTACCTTTTATAGAGATTTGTTCTAATGTCATTGTGTAAAGTAGAATGAACCACAATCAAAATAATCCTGGAAAGCCAGTTAGAGGAGACCTGGGCTTTTGGAAGTTCAAAAGACAGTTGATCAAAAAAATGTTTTCCTTGCTTTAAGCCACAGACATAGGGCAAGGGTTAGTTTAAAGGAAATGCTGGGGGGTGGGGTGCCCAGGTAAGCTGGCCTTGGGAAGCCGCCTTTTACTCTCTGTGTCTTCTGGTGAAGGTTTCATCCAGTGGCAGCCCAGCTATTCTGAGCATGTCTAATTGGATTGCTGTTTGTTAGATCTGTGTGATGAAGTCCCAGTGTGAATTTGGAGAATAATTGAATGAGAATGTACATCTAAAGGAAGTCACAAAGTGTTTGAGCCATCATATGTCAATGTTGCACTGATAGAAGTGCAAATTTAGATCTGCGCGCATACACATGTCCATGATCACCACAAAAATTCCTCCCAGATCCACGGTTACTCTATTTCTGGCATGAATTTCCCTCCTTCACGCGCTGCCAGGAACCATGCAGCTCAGAAGAAGTTGTCAGGCGGTTTGGATGTTATTGCCTAATTTTGTCCTTCTTTATGCTGGTAATTTGGACTTTCATTGTTCCATTCTAATTGGAGATGTGTCATATATTTCCTGTTGGCCAGGGATGGGCACTGCTGCCTTCTCAACATTTTGTTCCTGTCAGCTTCATTATGATTTCAATATTAATTAGATCATTTGTTCTTCTCTGTCTTTGGCATCTCTAATTAAGAACTAACATCCTGGAATTGTTTCTTCATGATTCAAGGAGATCTTGGACAATCCCGCATGAACCTGCACACCTCTGCCTTCACTTGCCAGGACGCATGCCCGTGCCCCCTCCCCCTCCTGGGGACCCTCATCTGCTCTTCCCTGGCCAGGCCTGCTTGCTACAGGGTTGGGGTTTGCTGGAGACGTGGGGCTGTGACTGTGCTACAGATTTCAGGCCTGGTCAGGTACAATCCCTAGTGTCTGGTGTCTCCTGGGGACATATTTATTCTGTGTTCAGTAAGAGGGAAGGGAGCCCTCCATTGTGCTTTGGTTCTTGATTCACAATTTAAACCCCCATCGTGCAGCTTTGGTGGTAGGGAGGGTGTGTCAGCTTCACTGAGCTTCCAGAAGAAACTCAGAGGAGCTAAACAAAGTTCATAAATTAACTGGATCACAGAGCCGTGAGACCCAGACACAGACAGGCATGGGTCCAGGCACAGAGGCCATGTGTTGAGGCTGCTGCCTCCCTCTGCCATTTTCCTGTCTAACAGCTTCATGACCACACAGCTGACACTCAGTGAGCTGCCCATGTTTAAATGGAGAGTTTGGTACATTTTGATGGTTTTGTGGGTGCAAAATCACCACCCAAATTGGGGCAGTGATATCTTTAGCCTTTGATCTTTCTTCTTGCTTCTTTATGATCCCTTCTCTCTCGCCCTCTCCATTTGTCCCGTGCAATCACTCCCTGACAGTTAATTTTTATTTTCTGGAGTTTCATATAAATGAAACAGTAAAGTATGTTTGTTATCTCTGTCTTCATTGCCCCTCTTATCTCTCTCTTCTTTCCCTCAGTGTAATTAACTTGAGATGTATCCTTGCTGGTATGTGTCTCCATAATTCTTCTTTAACTGCTGAGCTATATTCCACTGTGTGAATATATCACAGTTTGTCCCCATGGATGGACATTTGGGTTGCTCCTGGTTGGGTTTAATGCTGCTGGGAGCATTCATGCAAGCTTTTGTCTGTCATTTCTGTCACTTGAAGCAG